ATGCCGATGCGCACACCCGGTGATCGGGGTTCCGATCGGACGTGTGAAGATCGAGTGAAGTTTTGATGATCCGATCTATGACGCGATCACGTCCCACGTCTCGATCGCAAGGAAAAAGAACTCTGCGATCCAGGGCTGTTCAGCGAGCTGTGCGAGCGGTGTAGATCGCGTAAACTGATATATATATATATTCATTTATTCATTGGTTGGAGTTGAATGTTGGCAAATGCTTTCCCACGACACCACGGAGCAAGGATAGCATCACACGTAGATTTGTTTGTTGCTATTGCTGGTTGGCTCTGGTGACAACCCCCAGTACAGCGCTGATGTGTGCAAAAAGCTTTGTGTTCCTAACGTCGGCACTACGCGTAGTATGACCACACCTTCCGTGTTTTTAGGATGTCATTGGTCTCCTTGACGAGTTCTCTGAAGCCGGGCTGGCTCATCAGAAAGGTGCCTGGCCGAAAGATGTTAAATGTGAAAGTGCTGTATCAAATCATGCGTTTGTTCTCGCACCGGCAAGTTGTAGTAGTATCGTCGCACCAGCGAAATTACCCTGCCAGCCGTGTTTGTGTTGGGCTCACTGCAAACCGAAGTATTTGTCAACATCGGTTTCTTGTGTCCCCATCCTTAGGCGAGCACACTTGTTGAAACACATGTTTGCAGGTAGGCTTGAGATCCGCAGGTGCGCATGTTCTGGCCTGCAGCATAGGCTGCCTGTGTTTGTAAGCATCAGTCGCCTGTCAATTCAGATGGAGCTTTGCATGTTAAGGTGATCGCCGCAGCCAGTGGCGTTTGGGTGGACTCGCGTCTCGCCGCATAATAATCACATTAGCGCCCATGACGTCTCACTGCGTGGCAGGCTCACAATAGTTTTCTATAGAAGCGCTTCAAGCAGAACCTTTGACCCCCAAAAATACACAATCAGAAGACAAGCTCTGAATTCACCGCGAGGCCTGGCAATCATCGCCCCGGAAAGAAGTCACATGATGCCTGTCATAACCCATCGCACAAACATGTGCAGACACCTTGATCCCCACACAACAGGACTTGAAAACATTTGCAGAGCTTCGAGCCTCGCCGTTGTCGGATGCCGCCGCGCAGCCCGCAAATAAATAGGCCGTTTGTGTAAGCGTACTGGTTTGGGCACAAACATCTTTCTGACCACATCCGGTTGAAAGTCTCACCCAAGTGCTCGACGGAGACGTGACACCGGGTCGAGGCATTTGATGTTTCAAATTTTGCCTGCAGGCATATCATGTGATTCTATTTTGCTGAAAGACTGCAGCCTAGATGTTGAATGATTACGGCGGCTGTCGTTGCAGCTCGCTGTTTATGTGTGCGACATGTGTTACGGCATTGGTGTTCCGTCCGTCGTGGCATGTTTGAGTCGCAGGAGTAGTCTTTTCGAAGCAGACCTCCGGATTTTCTGGGATGATGCACTGCACGCTGTTGCTTTCGTCCATGACTGGTGGTAAGCCGTAGTCGCTAAACCCCGCGTGTGTTCTGACTGCATTCTCGCAGGTGGTCCACCCAGAGCCGCAGCCGGTCCCCCTCTCAGATCCGTTCAGTAGGCGCTTGAGGCGTTGAGGATTCTGGGATTTGATGTTTGCCGCCTGGAAAGCTGAAACAGCGGGTGAGCCCCAGCTTCAGGCTCTTGAGCTTCAAGCTTGAGCTCTCTCTTCCTCTCTGTTCTACTTATGTCTCTTCTTTGCTTGGTTGAGCCTTTTTTGTCTCCCCTGTCTTTCTCTCGCTGTGAACATATACCTTGCTCACGAGCACGACGAAGAGGTGGGAGTTCGCAGATGCTCCTCGGAAACAGTTTGCACGGATTCGAGCTGTCTTGGACGGTTTGGAGGCTCCTGCTGCTGCCGAAGTTTCATGGCCTCAAGACCGCAATGCAGCATGATCTCCTGCTTGCCTCAAGGTGGACATCTCGTCCGAGGAGGAGCTGGCCTATGAAAGCGTCCTGTATCTCCGTGCAACTCTGTACCGAAAGAGCTTTGTTCCAGGAACGAAGGCGTAGGCATAATATTGGCGTCCGCAGAGCCAGGGCCTTTCTACCTGTGCCCCTTCCTGTCGATAGAGAATGCGGGAGCTTGAGCCCCCTGCGGCCCCTGCGAGGAGATGATGCCACTCTACAGCTTTCTGCGAAGCGGAGAAGGCTTTCAGCCCAATGTCAACGACGATCTGGTCTTTACGAAGGGCACCATCACCCGCCCCTGGCCGTGCAACGGGCAACGAGTGACCTCAAAGGAAACATGGTCTAACGAAGCTTTCTTTGGGAAGACTTGTGTAGTAGCATTGCAAGCCAAGGAGACAAGCGTCTTGACTTGCGACTTGGCTGCGACCCCATCTACGCTTGAGCCTGCGCGAGACGTGGTTCGATGATTTCGGTTTAGACTTCTGCTCCGGCTTTGAAAGTTTGGCGGGTTAGTTTTTCGCGGCGCTGGAGCTGATGTCAGTCATGTTGCATACCATGCCCAACTAACCCCAACACTGTACAATTAAAGTTGCCGGCGACTCAACGTAGCAAGTTCTCCGTCGGGACCTGAATTCGTGCAGCAAAGGTTCGCAGTACAAGAACCTGGCTCGTCACAGCCTCTGCAGCCAGGTGCAAGCAGGTGATCGGTCCTCAGGGCGTGGAGGACCTGATGCAGGCTTTGTTCGTAAACCAAGGAGCGGCTTGACTTGGACATCAGCTCACGACTTGCATGGGTTTGTAGCGAGTGCAAAATGGCTTGGGGAGCTGGGATCAACACGGATTGAAGAGTCTTGCAAGTCCTTCTTTGGTAGGCATTGCTTGGAGAGCCTGCGTGGCCAGGATGCTTTAGGTCCTTGAGGTGATCAAAGAATCAAAGCCCACCTGTGTGAGGCTGGTTTGGTGCAACATCTCCTGCTTGGCAATAATGTTTGCCGCTAGGCTTGCCTATTGGTGTTTTTTTGCCCAGAGAATGTGGCACACGACATGCTGTACTGAGCACCCTTGAAGACCCTTGACTTGAAGCCTACTTTCACGAGCTTGTTTGCTCAAGGCAGCGGTATATGGTTTCTCGCATGTGTTTAGTTGGCTCCATCCAGATAAACAACAGAAGACAGCTGCATGGTTCATGCAGAATGAGACAGAGTCAGCCTAAGTGTATGCCTCGCCGATAGCTGGGCCCCGGCATGTGGCGTCTGCACCTGTTGTCGCTGGGCATAGCTACAAGCTCGCCGGCCCAATGTCGCTGGCAGACAGAGCGGCTGAATGACTTGACTGCCTTTCCACACTACGACAATGGCACTCGGCCTTACATGTACGAGGGCCAGGCTGTGAATGTTTCCGTACAGCTGTACATTGCCGCCATTCAGGAAGTCGATCAGAAGGGGCAGCAACTAGCTCTTGAGGGATACTTCCGTTGGAGGTGGATCGACCCTCGGCTTGCTCACACAGATAATTGCGGACCATTGACACTCCAGCTCCCAGCAGAATCTGTTTGGATGCCAGACATTTACATCGACAACTCAGTCTCAGAGTGGTACGGTGCTGGGTCCTTGTGGCTTTCACCAGAAGGTGAAGCGTACAGGTCAGTGCGCTTTAGTCACAGACTGCGATGTCCGATGGAATTTCATTTGCTGCCCTTCGACAGACAGAGATGCTTTGTCATGATAGCGTCCTACTCGAGCTCCATCGCCGACATCAACACAGGCGATTGTTCAAGCAAGGGTGCTGGCGTGTAATTGCATGCTTGAGCGAACTGCTGTAGCGGTACATCAAGCGGGCCAGTTGTAATGTGAAAGCGAGTTTTTAAAACAGTTGCCTCGCGCTGGAGGTGAGTTCGCAGATGGCGCTGCGATTCTCCCTGAAGGATACGGCGGAACGACCGAGTGGAAGCTGGAGAAGTTGGAATCCGAGGTACTGCTGGGGATACGATGTCACTATTGGGAGCCTGGAAGTTCGTAGTTTTCCTGTTTACTTGCCCCAGTACTTCAGCTTGCCGGGACATGTGACAGGTGACCACGGAGTGGTTTGGTGCCGGTGAATACCGGCAAGGGTTCCGGTATGTGTCTGGGCGCCCTTAGTGATGAAGTGCCAAGCATGAACTGTCTTGTACTAGAGATGTCTAGAGCGTAGACTTTCAGCCCAGGTCTGGGTGTACCTGACGCTGGAACGCCGCCCCAATGCCCTCATCGTCTTTGTCTTCTTCACGTGCTTGGCGTTCGCGCTGGTGTCCTGGGTTGGGTTGTTCATCAACCCGACAGCTGCGCCAGCTCGTGTCGCCATCGGAGTCATCCCGGTGTTGATAATGCTGAACTTGGAGAGCAGCGTCACATCCCAGCTACCGCCTTTGAACTACATGACTTGGCTCACAAGTTTTCTCTTCACGATAAAGCTCTTCAGCATGACGGTTGTCTTCGAATACGGTTTAGTGTCGTGGCTGATGATGATAGAAGGTCAAAGGGTCCGAAAGTTTGAGGCTATGAAGCAGATGGCTATTGCGCTGAAGCGGGACACGGAGGAGCTACAGGGGCACACAGCGGAGGAAATGGTAGAATGGGATGAAGATGATGATGAGGAAGTGAATCTGCAGGTCGCTCAGGAGACAGAGGAATCACACGCCCCGGCAGAGAAGCTCCAAGCGCAGAGGTCGAAATCCACAGTTTCACTTGCTTCACGTAGAAAGGCAGTTGTCCTTTCAAAAGGCCCGGAGCAAATCCAGGAAGTGTGGGACATGTTCGATAAGGACGGGTCCGGTTGCTTCGATCAACATGAGATTCAGCTAGGATTTCGCAAGCTCGGACAGTATTTGAGCATGGATCAAGTCAAACGGATGTTCTTCCGTCTTGGCGTAGACTCAGCGACACTCGACGGGGAAGCGTTCCAGCGCATGCTACTGGACCTGAACCTATACCTGCCGGGGACGCCCTTCACCCTCAGCTATTGGGAACGCCCGCCTTCTCTCCAAGTGGACATCGCGTTTCGCTACATCTACATCCTTGCTTTGGCCGTTGTGACGATTACGTGGCTGGCTCTCGCCGGCAGCTGAGCATCTTTTGTATCCGGAGAAACATTACATCCCTGAGTGAACTTGGCAACACACAACGAGCTCGGGTGGGTCGTTTTAATGTTGGAATTTTCCAGGAGCCACAGCTCAACAAGAGCCTGGAGGCTGCAGCGTCTGCAACGCATAGCTTCATGTGGCTGTGATGTCTGCTCGCATCCCGCCAAGCGGTTGCATGTAGTCAGGTATTGCAATTAAGGCCGTGCTGATTGATCAAGCCGTCTCGAACCAACGATGTCTAGAGACAAAGCCCCAGCCTGCGCGAGGGACCATTCATCCTTGTCCCCGCACGAGTCAAGCGATCTTTTGGCGCATTTCGGATCCACATGATGAAATCGATGAGGGTGTTGGCCGTGATGGCAACGACGAGGATGATCATGACAAGAGGACGACGAGGAGTCGATGAAGCTAGACGTCGTAGTAGTAGTCGTCGTCGTAGTCGTCGTCGTCGTCGTCGTTGTGGTTGTGGTTGTGGTTGTGGTTGTGGTGGTTGTGGTTGTTGTGGTTGTGG